TGTAAGAGTGGATGGAGAATTTTCCTCCCCCGGCAGCATATATACCCCATGAACTACTCACTCTAATATTTTCTCCATGGAAATGTAGGGTATCGCCACAGATATTTCAATCTACTTCTGGAAGACTGGGCATAGTCTTCTTCTGGACTCTCCACTTACAGGAGCAGCCACCTGGAAGACCTCGGATGCTGACACTGCCACATCATTCACAGCAACCTATAGCTGGCAGTGAGAGTATCCTTTTTGAAGTCTGACAGGTGGGATGTACACCTACCTGCAGGGTATTTACAGGGAAAGAGCCGATGGGCGGGAAGTCCATGATCTGTAGGTCGTGAACATGGCCATTCATGACCACGGCAGGTAGGTAGACACGGCGGGCCTTGGTGGGGACACAGACCTCGCTGAACTCGTTGTACAGGAACTGGTGGACAATGGCACTCTTCCCGACCCCTTGAGCACCCAGCACGGCAATCTTGAAAGTTGTCACCATGCCTCCCGGCCACAACCCCCGTGCACAACGTGGTGATCAGCTCCTTGGCGCAGTCCGCTGCCTTTGCACTGCCAGGAAGGCCCCTGGGCTGCATATTCTGGCAGCTGTGGATTCAGCCACAGTCAGCAACCATTTCCTCACTGGCTCGGCCTGTCACTGGAAGAGCAAAAGAAATCTTGTCAACCTAGAGAAACTAAGAGAAGTCCTGCTAGAGCAGAGCAAGGGTCCCTCCAGCCCAGTTTCAGAACAGCCAATCAGATACCTACACACAAAATACAAAGGCAGCATCTCTTCCCTATCATTTCCCCCAGCAATTGCACTCTAGTGGTAGATTGTCCCTAGTTACGGAGGTTTCAAATTTCTTTGGAACTATTAGCTAATAATGGATATCTTTTTCTCCTTGAGTTTGTTAAACCCTTTAATACTAATACTTCAGTGTCAGAAGCAGCGAAGTGCTTCTGTGATGAAAGGATTTGCTGATGACAACACAATAGCCTGGGGAATACCCAGTTGGGGGGTCCTTTCATGTCTCCGTGAAGTTGCCCACTGAAGTGGTGCCCATTTACCTACGCATGGTCACTGCTTTTGAACCTCTAGGTTGGCAAGAGCTGGAGCACGTGACGGGAGCTCACCCCACCCTCCAACAGAAATGGGTCTCAAACGTGAGCCTGCCGGTTGTCCGCCCAGTGTTCTAAACTCGTCAACCACCGCACTCCTTCGTTAAACTTTTAAGCTGAAAATTCACACCACACGATGCCATAGACTTGATGTTTCTCCTACATGAATATTTTCAAGCTGCCCACAAATAGCAGCATATCAGGTGTTAAAAGAAATAAACAGAACATGATTCTGTATTTCTCCTTCCCGATAAACTCAAAAGTCCTTAGTCATTTCAGATGTCTATATGGTTTTCCTAGGTTCTGACCAGCTTCACATATTGCATGACACTATGGATACCTAACCATGGTTTATGGAATAAAATTCCATTTGGTTAGATTTGCACAACATATCAATCCTTACCCATGCCTGACAGATCCTTGTGGCTGCATTCACACAACATGTTAATTCATATACTTTACAGATAGATCATGTGGTTTAGCATAAGGGTGGGCAACTGGAGCCTCTGTCCAAAACAGCCCATGATTTCTCCTTTTGTAATGTCAGAAACTTGATTATAATTAATGAAAAGTAGCAGCAGATTTCCTGGCGAGTTTGAATTGGGACACAGAAGGAAACTATAGTGTATGCCCTGCAATAGCTGTAACATAGTTAAGAAACAACCCCCTTAAGATCGCAATGTCCATCTGCAAGATTCAAACCTTTTGCCTTTTGTAGCCTTCACTCCCCCACAAAGTTATGGGCAGCCTTTGGTTGCTACCAAAATATTGACTTTTCCTGTTTCCTTCATAATATATGAACATTGTGTTGATTCTGATTTGCTATTTTACTTGATGTGTTAATCCAGTTGTGTAAGCCAATTACACTTATTTTCCAAGTTATGACCATAATGGAGCCTGTCCATCATGGTCATAACTCATGATGGTTGTAAATCAGGTCACCCATATGATGACCTGAATTTATGACTTTTTTGTGGCAGTCATTAAGCAAATGCCTTTGCCATTAAGCAGACCCATGGTTCGCTATGCAGCAGTTTTGCCAAAAAAACAGAAATGCCAGTTTTCAGCAAAATCATCATAAAACTCGGTCACATGACGGCAGGATTGTAAACGGCTATAAGTGTGGCCCAGCAGTCACATGACTACAAGGGAAGGTGACCATCAGAACTTCAAATCTGGGTCATAATTACCCCCAGGGAGGTCTGTTGTAACTATGAACAGTCACTAAGTGACCCATCGTAAGTCAAGGACTACCTGTAAAGTCACTTTGTCATAGAAATGGCATATAATTTGATAAATAAGCAAATATGTTCAAGAAAGGAAACATGCTCTTTTGCATTCAGCCTGAGCAATAGTTGGGGTATTTACCTTAGAAAAAAAAAAGATTGGAGTCAGTCTCTCCCCATTTTTCCCTTAGAAAAATTCCATACCTTTGAAAATCAGAAACCAGGTACAAATCACACCACTGATACTTTCTTTTCCTGTATTTTGAAGATAAATTTTAGCAGGGGAAGAAATTTTTCCCTTGCTCTTTCTCCTTTATATTTAGCGCTGGTTGATATTTCTTCAATAAATACAAGTCAAGATGAAGTTAATTAAACTGTTATGTCATTGCTGTGTCTGTCTAATGTAATCTACTAATGTAATGTACTAATCATTCCAATATAATTAAGCCACGCGGTGTGTTATTTGAGGAAGCCTCTAGAACAGTGCCTCTCAAGCTTGGCAGCTTGAAGATGCGTGGACTTCAACTCCCAGAATTCCCCAGACAGCATGTAGAATAATTTCTCCCTTCTCCCCATCATTCCAGCATAAATTCAGCATTCTTAATTCCTCAGCAGTCAGACAGAACATAAAGGTAGTCCTAGATTTACAACAGTTTGCTTAGTGACTGTTTGGAGTTACAATGGCAATGAAAAAAGTGACTTATGACCATTTTTCACATTTATGACCGTTGCAGCATCCTCAGTCACATGATCAAAAATTGGATGCTTGGCAACTGACTTATATTCATGACGGTTGCAGTGTCATTTGATCCCCTTTTGTGAGCTTCTGACAAGCAAAATCAATGGGGAATCTGGATTCACTTAACAACCGTGTTACTAACGTAACAACTGCATTGATTCACTTAACAAATGTGGCAAGAAAGGTCATAAAATGGGGCAAAATTCACTGAACAATCATCTCACTTAGCAACAGAAATTTTGGGCTCAATTGTAGTCATAAGTTGATGACTACCTATTTTTTTTTTTATTTGTGACCCTCCCTCCCTTTAACCAACTTATGGCCATGCAGTGAATTGTAAAAAATAAATAAATAATTGAATTTTCCCTATAATACTGCTTGTTTGTTGTACATTAGCCTTTCCCTACATGATGCCCACCTGACAAGTTGGAAAGGAATTCCCAGAATTCCCTAGCAGCCTAGTTCTTGGCTATGAACTCTGGGAGCTGCAGTCTCAGTGTATTGTCTGGAAAATTGCCCATCTGCATAGAGAAAAGACAAATGCTCTTTCACGTGAGGTTTAATCAAAACCTATTTCAAAAGGCAACATATTTTCCATAAGTTCCATATTCCATACATATCCCTTGCTGCATTCACACAAAGTACTTGAAGCTGGTTACTAAATTAACCATTTTTCTGGATTCATAAAATACAAGAAATCATAAACCAAGCAGATAGACTGAAGTCATACATACTAAGCTAGGAGAAAAACCATGATTAACACTAACCAACCTGCCTAGTTTAGCTTGCTGTGTAAGTGCGTCAATTTCATCATTGTACACTACCTTATGCTCTCAAAAAAATAATAATCACTCATGTATTTTCTTCTTTCACCTGTCTCAGTGAATCTGAAAATCAAAGGGTTGCAAGTAAAAACTTTAGTTTCGGTCAACACAGAACTCTTATTCTTCCTCCCTTCCCACAACTATTAGACGAGTGAGCAGTGTTTCAAAATGTTTGACATTCTGCTCTTTGGCAGCACCCAAGCAAAAATCAGTTGTACAGATTAAATATCTCCTTTTGTGTCCTGAATGACCAGTGCCTTATTTCATTTTTCTTTTTCTGTACTCAACAACCCCAATATTGTCTCCCAAAGGTTTGCTTTTTAATTTTTAATCCCACTTTTTATCCTTTTCTTTTGTTTTTACAGAAAAGGGAAGAGTAATAAATAGCACTTTTTAGTATTGTTTAGTCTAATTTTAATAGAAAAACTGCATCATAGAACAGAATTTTATGTATTTCCATTTATCTCCATGTATTTTAGCCTATAAATCCCACAATTCCCTGTGGTTGAGTTGTGCTGGTTGGATCTGACTAGAATTGAAATCCAAAATATTTTGGTGGCATCAGGAAAAATTGTGGAAGGGTGATTTCCAGCCTGTCCTGCTCACCAGAGCACCACAGACTCAGAAATGACCATGTAGACTGCTGAGTCCCATCACCAGGTCAGTGCAGGAATTCATATTAAAGCATCCTCAACAAATGCCTTTCCATAGAAATTGGACTCCTCTGATTACTGGGCTATTAGTTCCATTACTGCACTGCTCTTATGATTGGGAAGTTTTTCCTAACACCCACCCAGGATTTCCTATGGCTTGTGGTAATAATTCATAAGGATGATGTTAAAAAAAAAGTCCTGACTTTTTTCTGCAAATGCCTCTTTATATTTCCTCTCAGTCCACAAGAGGATTTTTTTTTTAAAAAAAAAAATCGAGATGGAAAAACCCAGGTCCTTTTCTATACAAGCACAACATGCATCACACACATAAAGAGGGACAGGATTTCAATTACACTGTCATGGCTGCCATCTTGATATTTTAAACAGCCCCCCCTCATGCACCAGTTTGGTCTAGTCGAGTTAAGGTACCAGTTCTAGTCTTGCCTTAGGCATCCAACTGGATGACCTTGAGCCAGTCACTCTCTCTTAGCCCAACCCACCTCACAGGATTGTTGTTGTGGGGAAAATAGGAGGAGGAAAGTATCTTCCCTGCCTTGAGTTATGTACAAAAATAATAAAGGCAGGATAAAAAATAAATCAATAAATAATTCAACAATAAAGCCCTTGATTTCAACCATCTTTTTTCAAGGCCAAAAAACTCTGTTATTTCCATTTCTCCTCTAAGGACAGTTTTCAGTTGCCCCACCAGCTACTCTACCCTTCTTCATCTGTGTCCTAGTTTGATTCAGTCCTTCGTAAACAGTCGCCCAAAGAATTGGACCAATACTTAAAATAGGGTTTGATGAAAAAAAATCACATTTCCAACTGTTATCATTCTTAATTTTCTGAAAGAGATCATACATAATGCCATAACGGACAAGCAAACGGAGTCATTCTATGGAACTTTGCTTTTATATATGATAACTGCAGCAAATGTTTTA